AAGCTACTCAATCACTGCCATTCTGGACCAAAATTTTATCATCTTCTGCATAAACTACTGTGAAAGCAGAGCTCAATGCTATTCAAGGTGTGACCTATGAACTAAAACTGGTATACAAAACCTTGTATAGCATTTTATTGTATTACTAACTGGAAATTAAAATAAAACTGGCCCCTCACCACAGGTATGTTTGAAAAGCCAAACTAACTGCCTGCATTTACACTTGCTTCTCTCCAATATGTCCTCTACAGAACAGCCGAGTAATGTTTTTAATACAAAACTGTGAGCAATGTATTTAGCTATTTAAGAATCTGACAGGTTCCTATTGCTTTTAGGATTAAGTACAAAATGCTTAGCATGGATTCTGGCCATTGTGATCTGTTCTAATCTCATTTCACATAAACCTGCCTCTTGTGCTAATGTCTAGTTCCTACTGGATTTCACAGTTGTAGAAACCTGAAATTGCCACCATCATTTGGGTAATTTAAGGTCATACTTTAGGTTTCAGCCCTCACATGATTTCTTTAGATAGATAGATAGACAGACAGATGTATTCATTTGAAAGCCAGTTACAGAGAAAGTAGAAGACAGATATTCCACTTGCTGGTTCACTCCTCAGATGACCACAATGGCCAGACAAAAGCCAGGAGGCTCATCCACGACTCCAATCTGGATGGTACAGGCCAAAGCACTTGGCCCATCTTCTGCTGCTTTTTCTAGGCCACTAGCAGGCAGGATGGATTGGAAGTGCAGCAGCCAGGACAGGAACCAGTGCCCACAAGTTATGCTGGCATCACAGAGGGCAGTTTTACCCACTACGCCACAACACAGGCCCCTAAACATGATTCCTTTAAAAAGCATTCCTTGATGAACTCGTGGGCATTTATTACTTACAAAATAAATATCCTTTATAACAGTGATCACTAAATAGTTTTGTAATTTTTTGTTTAGTTTCTTTATTCCCCAATGAACTTTTGCCTGACTAAAACCTCATTGCATGAATACAGGTATTCTTTCATTCATTAACGTGTGTCACCAGAACCTAGCAGAGTACCTGGCACAAATAAGTTATTCAATCACTTGCAAAGCAAACAAATTCAATCATGAAACAATACAGTGAACAGGACCACCAACGTAATTCCTTCAATATCTGGTGGTATACATAGGACTGGCAATGAAACTTGCTTATTGAGCATTTTACAAAAGCTAACTCTCCTTTATTTCCCTAAGCATCTTAAGAAGATAGGGAAAGCCCACTCTTGAGATTAAATTTTGTAAAAAAGATTTATTTATTTACTTGAAAGGCAGAGTTACTGGGGGCGGGGTGAGGGGATGGGGGAGAGAGACAGACAGATACCGAAAGACAGAGAGGGCTTCCATCCAATGGTTAACTTCCCAGATGGCCACAACGGCCATAGCTGTGCCGATCCAAAGGCAGGAGCCCAAGGACTTAAGCCATCTTCTACTGCTTTCCCAGGACACAGCACAGAGCTGGAAAGGAAATGGAGCAGCCAGGACTCCAATCGGACTCCATATGGGATGCTGGCACTATGTAGGCAGTGGTTTTACTCGCTATACCACAGCACCGACCCCCGAGATTAAATTTTCAAAAATAAATTTTCAGTGGGGAGGAGAGGGATGGGGACCTCATCCTACACTTACTGAGACATACCATTTGGTCTCTGGTCTTCTTAAGGATTCTGTTGGTTACATGCCTGAAGAGGGAGGCGGATTGGCCTTCAGCCTGTACCAACTTTGTTAACCAACTGTTGCAGGCTCCGAAAATAAAAATGATCTTGAACCCATAAAAACACAAATTTTCAGAAAAGTGAAGAATTTTCTCTAATGTTCCACCAAAAAAGTAGAACATACAAGTGACTAAAAAGAGGGTAACGGACTCTAAAACCATACTGCCTGACCGCACTGCTTACTACTTACTAAAGTATGTGACTGTGCAACTTAAGTAATTTCTCAGGTTCCTCCTTTGTAAAATGGGGATAACAACAATGCCTTATTTGAAAATTAGTACGTAACCAACTGAAAAACAGCGCTTGGCACACTGTTTTAAAAAGTGTTGGCGATCACGATCTTCACTAATAATATCAACCCTCACTTAAAATTTTATCTGCTTGTTTATTGTTTGTCATGTCAGTGCCATACTAGATTACAAACCAGTAACTGTATTGCTATTATTCTTTGACAGAGTTTTTTTTTAACCAGAGCTCTGCAGCAATTAAACCTGAAAACTGGTTTGGGTGACTGTTACATCTCAGTAATGTCACGAATGACATACAGCTAGCACCATTCTAGGTATCCAGGAGCTGAGATAATTCATAATGTTTCTTGGATGCCTAGAGGATTGGGGGCTTGATTTTCCCAGAAACTATCATTGAGAAGGACCATTCTCAATGACTGGCACACAGCAGGTACTCTTTAAATATTTTTGGAAAGAATGACTTTGAGACAGAGTGAATATCAGAAACATCCAAAAATGCAGGAGGAAATGAATTAGAAGTTCATTTTTGTGCCGAAAAACACTGAAATCAAATAAACCAGGAATTTTCAAATGGAAACTGAAGGGTTCATGGAAAATGTGTAATATGAAAAAACTATGCATACATTTCAAAACTTTGGGCACCAAAATAATTTTTTCAGTCCATTATTCTACAAACTTTTAGAAGTAACCACACAGTACTAAGCAGAGTTGATGCTAAATGTTAATTTTATTATACCACTTCAGTTTCTATAAGCTTTAAAAATTTAAATCTAATGTAAAAATTAGATTCTAGAGGCATTATTTTTCTTCAATTCATGCTGTCTTGCACTATTCAAGGCCAAAAATGCAGAATACAGACAGTAAGAAACCAAAATACCAATGCTGGCAGGAACTATGTGGAAACAGTAAGAGGTAAAAGGTTAAATATGGATATGTAAGAGAAAGCAAAGGTTACTGTAGGCCAAGGAATAGCATTAGCAAATGTAATGTCACCCAAAGAATGGAGCCCTTTTCACTGGTGGTACAAAAATGACTCTAGGATACAGATAAGAAAATATTATCTTGATAATGTTAACATATGCACATATTTCCAATGGAATTAGTACTTCAAATTTTTACCATCAGAACAACACTGAAGTAAATAATGTCTATTTAGATTTTAAGTGAATAACCTAAAGATGTAGTAACTAAATGAGATAGGCAAACATGTCAAAAATTTTCAGGATTTCAAAAAGTGAGTAAAATTAAGTAAACACGAAACAAAGTTATGTGAAAATGAACGAATCTAACAGGTTAAGAGAAAAAAGCCATCAGTCTTCTCTGAATGAAGCCAAAGCTCTATCATCCCTACTGATTCCAGCTAAAAGTCTATGGATATGAAGAGTATCGCCAGTTCTGAGCATTTAATTTGCAATGCTAAAATTCTTCTAAAACCCTCATTTCCCACTATAATATATCTGCTAGACACTGTAACTTCTCTTATTCTCAAAAGAAAAACAAAATTTCAGAAGCTCCAAATAAGTATCTGACTTGTCTACAGCTCGATAATTTACTTGAAAATATGGAATTATACTTCCGTATTTTCCAAATCAGAAGAAATTAATTTACACAACAAAACACAAACCATATCTACATCAAAAAAGTGCCAAGTGAAGAATGAGAAGAGAGCTTTTCAGTCCCAGTCTCTCCTCTCTTAAATTCACTTACCAAGCCAGGCTAAGAAGTGAGAGAGAACATTTGTCAGCCCCTTACCATGTGGCAGCACTGTTCTATGTACTCTGTCTGCATTAACTTGTGCAATCACCACCACCACCATTTCATGAGGTATATCCCTACTCCCACTTTATAGCTTTACAAATAGTGAGGCCCAGAAAATAACTTGCCCAGGAGCTCATGGCGGGGCAGGAGTTTGGACCCTGGCAGTTCTACTACTGAGAATGATCTACTAACCAGCAGGCAACACTTCTCTCAAGAATGATGGGATAATCCGAAATATTCCAGTAGTTCCCAATAGTCCAGAAGAGATGTAATTTTCTAATGTATGATCCTTTAAACTACTTCGGTTCCCAGACTAAGAAACACTAGATTCAATTTAAAGGGAAGTAGGAGCATGACCACTGTAGTAGGCCAAACTAGGCCCAGGACTATTCATACATAGACAAAGCCTCAGAAGCCTCCTAAGGATGGCTGAATGACAGTGTCCAGTCAGGGAAGGTAAAGAAGCAAAAAGTTAGGACAAGCAGAAAAGTGAATCTTATTTCTACTGGGCCCTGTGACTGCACGGGGAGAGAAAACGCCACCATCCTTTTCCTTTATGTCCGTCAGGACACAAATATGCAGACTGAAGAGGAAGAACTAGGGAAAAAGGGTAAGCAGCAGGAGATGACAGGGATTTGGAGTCTTCAGCATTTGGGCCCTGGCCCGCAGGGTTAGCTCGCTGTAGCCTGGTAAATGGGAACGAGCATGTGCGGGGAGGCAAGGGGGTCTTTGTGTTAGGGGGGGGGGGGCCCCCCCCCCCCCCGGGGCAGGTACTGGGTGGTCTGCAGAGCTGAACCCGCACCAGGAAATGGGCAGACAAGGCTGAGAGCTCCGGGGGTCGGGCATGCGGAAGAAGGAACCTGGACGCTGGTGGAGGGTGGGGGGGGGGGGGGTGGAGTATTTTCCATATGGGCAACACTCCCGGCGGGCAGGAAAAGACCTGTACAAAGGGGCAGCCTTGGAGGTACGTATACAGCCAGAGAAGAGGCAGAGAGGCCGCGCAGGAAACTAAGGGGCTCCTGGCAGGCGGAGGCCGGGAAATCCAGAGACCGGGGAACATCCCGGGCCGAGCAGCAGAGGCAGGAGGCAGCCCCCGAAAAGGCCCAGGTTGCGCCGCAGGAGCCGTGGCTTGAGGGCCCCGGGAGCGGACGGAGGCCGCCGGGGCCCGGCGAGGCACGGGGAGGCCGGGGAGGAGGCGCGGGCGCCCGGGGCCGCGCGGGGACCCCGGCGCGGGAGGGGCACCTACCCTGAAGTGCGGGGCGGCGGCGGGCAGTCCCGGCGACGGCTCCTCTCCCGCTGAGGCGGCGGCCGCGGCGGCCCCAGGAGCCGAGGCTGTGATGGCTGAAGCGGCAGGGGTGATGGCGGCGAGTCGCTGTGGCGGCCGCCTCTGCCGAACCGCATCCCTCCTCCCCGGTCCGCCCTTCTTCGTTTCCCTATCTGTCGCTCCTAAACTTCTTCCCCGGGATAAACAAACCCGCCACCAGGGGCGGCCGCCTCCGCCGCTCCCGCCCCCGCGCTGCCCCTCCCGCCCCGGGACCGTCCGGGCTCCGGCTTCCGAGTTACGACTCCAGCCTCGGTCCCTTAGCCCGAGAGCGCGCGTGCGCGGCGGCGGCGGCGGCGGCGGCGCCGGCTCGCGAGGTTCTTCCCCCTCCAGCGCCCGGGCACTTCCGGGCGGGCCCGGATCCGCCGCCGGGTGTTGGGAGACGCCGCCGCCGCCTGGCACCGGGCGCCCGGCTGGGCGGGCTGTGCAGCTCGGGGCGTCCGGGCGAGGCGCGAGGAGGGGTCTTGCTTTGCTGGGACCGTTTTTCAGGCAAGCACAAAACCTTCCTTGCCCACCGAGGAGGCTCCTAACTGAAGTGCTCCAGCTTTCCTGCGGCCGTGGCTGTCAGGAAAGCCACGGTGCACCTTTTTGCTGAGCTCCTGTCGCCAGCCCAGAACTCCGGGAACTGCTCAGACAGCGCTGTGGACTCCAGCGGGAGCCCGTGTAGACAGAGGAGCAGTGCCACAGTGGACTGGTGTCCAGTTGGAGGGGATAAGCCTTGCCTGGAAGGCTCAGGCTCAGGAGGGGACGGGCGGGCCAGGACTCCTGATGTGTGTAGAGCAGGCGGCAGTCCTGGACGGGACAAGTCAGTGTCTACAGAGATGAGAGGATGGCTTCGTGTCCTCAGACTTTCAGAATTCAGAGAACGGGCGGCCAAAACCTTTTTATGCAACATATGCATGAGAGAAGGGTCCTTAATTTGGCTACAGGAATAAACCATTTACAGAGGTTTGAAGGGTTTTGCCATAGCAGGCGTGAATGTCATTGAAGGATTTTTTTTTTTTTTTTTTTTTTTTTTTTTACTTTCAGTGTTAACCTACTTTTGATTGCTTACCTGCCTTCCCAAGAAAAAGGACAGGGGAGGAAAAATATGTTTTAATAGTTTACTGTGTATCACGCCCTGCATAGACTTGTATCATTTCCTTTAGGGCACTCAACAACTCTGTCACTCTATGTTTGAAATCATTCCCAGCCTACAAATTAAGTAACTAGGACCGGGAATGAGAAGTAACTTATCCAAGATTATTGGAGTTTGAAAACTGGGCAGGCAGTCGGGCCTTAAGCTGCTGCCTATGGCTCCAGCATCCCATTTGAGCGCCTCTTCAAGTCCTGGCTGCTCTACTCATGATCCAGCTCCCTGCTACTGCACCTGGGACAGCAGCTTGGTACCCTGCCACCTGTGTGGGAGACCTAGATGAAGTTCTGGTTTCCTGGCTTTAGCCTGGACCAGACCTGGATGTTTTGGCCATTTGAGGAGTGAAGCAGATGGAAAATTCTCTCTGTGTGTGTCTGCCTGCGCATCTTTCCCTTTCTCTCTGCAACTGTGACTTTTCTTTATACTATTTGTTGAACTCTGCTTAACAGAGAGTTAATGATATGTGTATAAAGTCAATTGAAAATAGATCCCAGTAAAAAATAAGAGGGAGGAGGAAGTTTGTAACTGTAAAGCTTTATAGTTATAGTTGTGCATACATTCCTACAGACTTTTTTTTTTTTTTTTTTGGACAGGCAGAGTGGACAGTGAGAGAGAGAGAGAGAAAGGTCTTCCTTTACGTTGGTTCACCCTCCAATGGCCACTGTGGCCAGCGCACCGTGCTCATCCAAAGCCAGGAGCCAGGTGCTTCTTCCTGGTATCCCATGTGGATGCAGGGCCCAAGCACTTGGGCCATCCTCCACTGCACTCCCAGGCCACAGCAGAGAGCTGGCCTGGAAGAGGGGCAACCGGGACAGAATCCGGTGCCCCAACCGGGACTAGAACCTGGTATGCCGGCGCCGCAGGCGGAGGATTAGCCTATTGAGCCATGGCGCCGGCCCCAGACTTACTTCTAAGAGTACAGTTTAAAAACTTGCCATGGGACCCCAAATCCCATTAAGCTGGGTGGTAAAAATGCAATCTTTAGTGTTAAACTTTGACCATATTAAGTGCTAAAGTGATCATATAGATATGATTGTTAAAGGGATCATATAAATAAGATCAAATTGTGGTACTACTACTAATAATAGAATTAAAAAGGAGAGAATATTCCAACATGGGAAGCAGTCCGCACAGCAGACTCATAGAATGACAATCGCCTTAAATAGCACTCTGACCTCAAAATTAGCCCTTAAGGCATTCTGGTCTGGCTGAAAGCCTATGAGAGCATTTCAGGCATGGAAAGCCAAGACACTGAGGCAAAAAAGTCCTACATTAAGAATCTTTGTGAGAGATCCCAATGGAAAGAAGTGCCCATCAAAGGAAGTACTTTTCTCTAAAAGGAGGAAAACTTCTACTTTGCTTATGGTCTTATTTACATACTGACAGAGTTTGTGAATTCAGAAGACTTCCATAGCTTTGGCATCTCATGTCACAAGCCCCAGGTGACTACTGATGTCATACATAAGAGTGTTAATTGTTAAATTAACAACAGGAGTCACTGTACACTTACTCCCTATGCAGGACTTCTGCACTCAATGAGTTGTATTATGAGAATTAATTGTAAAACTTGTTCTCAAACTTTGTGCGTGTGTGTATGCAAGTTGTTGAAATCTTTACTTAGTATAGAGTTGGTCTTCTGTATATAAAGTTAATTGAAAATGAATCTTAATGGAGAATGGGCATGGGAGAGGGAGGAGGAGGTGGGGTGGGAGGGCGGGTATGGTGAGAAGAATCACTATATTTCTAAAGTTGTACTTAAGAAATTTGTATTCATTAAATAAAAGGTTTCTTTGGGAAAAAATTTATATATATATATATATAAAATAAATAAATCTTAAAAAAATTGGACTGGCAGAGTCCCCTCACTTCAAATTAGTATGACAACCTCAGTCACATATTTAAGGCACAGAACTAGGGTTACGTTCTCTACCAAAAGTTTTTCTTTCTAAAGTAAGATTGGCTTCACTGTAAAGTTTGAAGTTGCCTTCGGTTGAGTTAGTAGAATATTTATGCAGATCAAGCAGCTCCAAATGTTAAAAAGCAGAAGTGGAAGTGAGCACAGCCGGGAAGGGGGCTGGTTGGGAGGAAGTTTCAATAAAAAGTATTTCAACAGACCCAAACACCAACAAAGACCAGTTAAAATACACACACACACACACATACGGTAGGGCTCTATTAACTTTGTAATGTGATAGAAACAGTGAAAATCACATAGAATTTTTTATCAAGTCCTTTCGCTATTTCAACCCCTTATATATATTTTTTTTTTATTTGACAGAGTTAGAAACAGAGAGAAAGGTCTTCCTTCCGTTGGTTCACTCTCCCAATGGCCGCTACGGCCGGTGCTGCACCCATCTGAAGCCAGGAGCTGGGTACTTCCTCCTGGTCTCCCATGCAGGTGCAGGGACCCAAGCACTTGGGCCATCCTCCACTGTCCCGCCCCCCCCCCCCCCCCCGGGCCCAACAAAAAACTGGAATGGAAAAAGAACAACCCGGAATAGAAACCAAGGGACCGGGGCCCCAAGGGGAAGAATAACCTAATGAGCTACCGGGCCCGGCACCACCCCTTATTTTTTTATCACCTCCTCTCTTCCACTAATTAAATATTAGTAAGGACCTAATGAAATATGCTAAAGGCATCAAATGATATTCCTGACTCCTTCAGGGACATTTCCAATCAGGAGTTAAAGTATGAGTGATACTTGCTGACCCTTCAACTTAACTAATTTCAAGTTGGGGACTGATTCAATAAACTTCCACCACAAGAATTTCAGATTGTTCCTTGAGGCATTCTCATACAATCTTTTTCTTAAGACCCAGTGTTGTGACACAGTGGGATGAACTGCCACTTGCAACCGCAGCGTCAACCCCAGCACCCCCTATCAGAATGTCAGTTTGAATTCCAGGTGCTCCACCTCTGATCCAGCCCCCTGCTAATGTGTCTGGGAGACAAAACAAGATGGTCCAAAAGCTTGGGCTCCTGCCACCCATGTTTGAGACCCAGATGGAGTTCCTAGCTCCTGGCTTTGGCCTGACCTGGACCTAGCTGTTGTGGCTATTAGAGGAGTAAACCAGTGGCTGAAAGGTTCTCTCTTTCTCTCTCTTCTCTCTCTTTTTGCCTGTCACATAAATAATAAGTAAATATTAAAAAAAAATATTTTCCGGGGCCAGCACTTGGCGTAGTGGGTAAAGCTGCCTCCTGCAAAGCCAACATCCCATATGGGTGCAAGTTCGAGTCCTAGCTGCCCCACTTCCCATCCATAATAGCCTTGGAGGGCAGAAGAGGATGGCCCAAGTATTTGGGCCCCTGCACTCATGTGGGAGACCAGGAGGAAATTCCTGGCTCCTGGCTTTGGACCCGTCCAGCTCCAGCCATTGTGGCCATTTAGGGGAGTGATATAGCAGATGGAAGACCTCTCTCCATTTCTCCCTCTCTCTCTAACTCTGCCATTCAAACAAATAAATCTTAAAAAAATAAAATATTTTCCATAGGCCTAATCTCCCTGCCTTTAGTATTAGAATGTACCATTCCTCCCTTTCTTGCAGTATTCAGACTTCATCCATTAATAAAGTGATAGTAAATAGAAATAATAAGTGTGAACATGGCTTGTAAATGATGCTAATTATCTGTGATGGTTTAGGAAAGTAAAAGATGGCTTTAAGGTCAATAAGCTTGGGTTAAAATATGGTGCTGTATTTCCAATCTGCTAAAGAACTACCTTTCTTGATTTGATTTTCCACTTGCTGGATACCTATTGGAAAACTAGACTATTACAAGAACATTTTGTTTATTGCTACCATAAGTAAAAGAAAAGTGAGAACAGGTTTATCACTAGTGTGGAGCATTGTGTGCCTCCCACAGTCTGATATTCAGTGTTCATCACCTAGGACACTACCATTAATTAAGATCATTCATCTTCTTAGATGCCAAACTTTTA